TCCCTACCTGCCCTCACTTCCCTCTAGCCCCACTGACAACTCAAGGACTCTTCACAGAGAGCTGTGTTTCCCTCTTGCTCCTGTTCTTTCTCTCCTCAGTCATCTGTGAAACTGACCCCTAATCCTAACTCAAGTCCCTACTACCCAGGCAGTGGCTGACATGTTACGTGAGAATCGAAGCCTTCAGAGCTTGAACATCGAATCCAACTTCATTAGCAGCACAGGGCTCATGGCTGTGCTGAAGGCAGTTCGAGAAAACACCACCCTCACTGAGCTCCGCGTAGACAACCAGGTCAGCATGCCCTTCGTTGGCCTTCTCAGCATTCAGCTATACTCCATGAACCTCCTACCCGAGCCAGTCACTGGGGCAGCTCTCTAGTCTTGCTTGAGTTTTCTTCGTGGTCTTTATGAGGGGAGCCAGGTCAGCAACTCTCTTCACCCACTCTGGAGAGACAAATCTCTTTGACCTCCCAATGGGTTCTGTGGCCTGGGACAGTGGACAACCCAGACAACATGGCTGACAGCTTTTGTCTCTGCCTTCCCCAGCGCCAGTGGCCTGGTGATGCAGTGGAGATGGAGATGGCCACCGTGCTGGAGCAGTGTCCCTCTATTGTCCGCTTTGGCTACCACTTTACACAGCAGGGACCACGAGCTCGGGCAGCCCAGGCCATGACCCGGAACAATGAACTGCGTGAGTAACTGCAGATGGGGTGTGGGGAGAGGGCAAGAAAAAACAGAAGCCAGTGGGGCCTCCTGAGAGCGAGCTTAGTGACACATGGCCTGGATGCTGCCAGATACTCACCGAAGTTCAAATTTCATGAGTGATCAGAAAGTGCAGAGAGGGACCAGCAGGTGGTATAGTGGCTAAGGCACTGGACTCCCACATGGCTGACAGTGGTTTGAGTCCCAGACCTGGTAGCTTAAAACTCAAGCCAGGGGGGAACCAGCAGTTAGCGTAATGGCTATGTCGCTGGACTCCCACGTAGTCGACTGCGGTTCGTGTCCCGGACCCGGTGGCTTAAAAAACTCACGCCAGGCGCGTGTGCGTGCGTGCCCAAGATCCCAAGAGGAGAATGGAGGAGAAGGGATTGCGGCGTGACCATCCCCCCTGGGGGGTGATTTCTCACTTTCTGTCTCTATGTCTCCCTCTCTGGCTGTCTGGCGAACGCACGCGCCCTACAGTGAAAATCTCTCCAAAAAAAAAAAAAAATTCAAGCCAGGGGACCAGCGGATGGTGGAATGGTTGTGTTGCTGGACTCCCACGTAGTCAACCATGGTTTGAGTCCTGGACCTGGTGGCTTAAAACTCATGCTAGGCACATGTGCATGCATGCCCCAAATCCCGAGAGGAAAATGGAGAAGGGACTATGGCGTGGTCATCCCCCCTGGAAGATGATTTCTCGCTTTCTGTCTCTGTCTCTCTTGCAAGCCCACATGCCCTATAACAAAAATCTCTCTTTAAAAACAAAACAACTCAACTGGGTGCATTTGTGTGTGTGCCCAAAATACCAAGAAGAGAATGGAGAAGGGACTGTGGTGTGGCCAAACCCCTTGAGGAGTGATTTCTCACTTTTTCTCTCTCTCTTCTCTGTGAGCACACACGCCCTATAGCAGAAATCTCTCATTAAAAAAAAAAAGAAAAAAAAAAAAAAAAAAAAAAAAAAAAAAAAAAAAAAAAAAAAAAAAGAAAGTACATAGAAGAGTCCCTCTACCCCAAACACGTACTAAGGGAGGTGGAAGTCAGACAGAAGTGTCTGTTGGAAGCGTGGTATTTTTATTTGTGGTGTGGTTTGTTCTGCTGCCATGGGGTGAGCCTGCCAGGCGGCCTTTGAGTCTAAGGAGGAGGAAAGGAGAAGAGTGCCTTAGGAGAGAGCAAGAGGTAGAACGAAGCCTTGTGTTTATGCTTCCTCCTTCACAGGTCGCCAACAAAAGAAGAGATGATACCGTTTTCCCCTTTGCCAACTAGAGCTGGGAGCCCTGGATGCTTAAATCCTCATCTACTCCCTTTCCTGTAAATAAAGGCCCTCCTGTCCACTCTGCCTGCCTCCCTCCTTGGACTCTGGGGTGGGAATCTTGGCGCTAACTCCCAAGGGTTACTGCCAGTTCATCAGGGGATTATTTATACTCTGGGGATCAGCAGGCTGGGAGGTTCAGGTTACCAGGAGGAGTGGGGGAGTGCCCTCCCTTGGTGTTCCCCATAACCCTGCCAATGCCTCCTGTCCTTTCTACTTTCACAGAATACTTAGCCTTAGCCCTGCTTCCAGATGTGGCCAGCCCTCCCGAACAACCCCACCTCCCCATCCCTTGCCTACTCACAGCCCTCAGGTGATGAGAAGAGGGAAAGGACTTTGTGTGAAGGTA